CAACATCAGCTCACAGAAACTGTCTCCACTTGAGGTTTCATGTGCATGGCCATCTAGAATTTCATTGCTTCATGTCTGGAGGAAATGAATCTAACATGCAGATTAGACACATAATATCCTTTTTCTGTTCCAGTAACTCCAAATTATTATTTGAAAATCAGAATCTTTTAGACCTTTTAATTATAAAAATAACATATGGGGCAGTATTGTGATTATGCAGGTTAAGCTGATGCTGCTTGGAGTGCCAGCATCCCATAAAAGCCTGAAGTGAGTCCTGGCTCCTCTTCTGTTCCAGCTTCTTGATAATCCAGCTTCCTGGTAATGCACTTGGGAAGGCAGAGGAAGATGGTCAAGTGCCTGGGTCCCCATCAACTATGTGGGAGATCCAGATGGGGTTCCTGGTCCTTGGCTTCATCTTGGCCCACCCTAGTTATTCTAACCATTTGGGGAGTGAACCAGTAATGGAAGATCTATCTCTCACTCCCTCTCACTTTCTCAGTCTCTACCTTTAGAAAATACATCTTTAGCAATAATGTGCATATTAGCTATTAAAAATTGCAGAACATAAAAACATAGGTATTATTCCCTTCTTTCTAGGGAGTACCAGTCACACTTTCCAGAACAAACTACTCTTAAAAGATTCTTACATTCCATTCTGAGACTTCCATATGCATATATATATAAGGGTACTTTAAAGCATCATAAAAAAGTGGAATTAAATTATTGTCTGTTTTACTGTAACAAATTTAAATGCATACATACAAGAAGGTTTCAAAACTATTTGAGTGTGTTCTGAAAAAATATTCAAATAATTTTAATTTTTGCACAAAAATAATGTCAGCTTTTAACTCCATTTTCCATGAACCTTTTGAAGGGCCTTCATAAAGATATATATTCATGGGCCAGCATTGTGGTGTAGTGGGTGAAGCCAAAGTCTTTGATACTGGCATCCCTTATAGGCACTTGTCTGTGTCCTGGATACTCCACTTTGATTGAAATATCTGTGAATGTGTCTGAGAGGCAGCAAAAGATGGCCAAAGTCCATGGCTTTGGCACCCATGTGGGAGACCCAGTTGGAGCTTCTGGCTTCAGCCTGGCCCAGCCCCAGCCAATGCAGCCATTTGGGAAGTGAATCAGCAGGTGAAAAATCCCTCCCTGCCTGTCTATCTTATGAATGAAATGAAAATGAGTAAATAAAATTTTTAAAAGATATATATATATATACACACACACACGTGCTCTTTTTTTTCATTGCAAAGCAGCATTTTTTTCTGTACCTTGTTTTACTTACAAGCACTCTGTACCTAAATCATTTTTCAGATCATTACATATTTACTATTTCATTGTACACATATACCATAATGTATTTTACTAATTCTCTATCAATATACATTTAGGTTGTTTCTGTTTTATTACAAAGAACTTACATGGCTTTATGTATTTGCCCAAATATATGTAAGATAAATTCCTGCAGTTGAATCATACCAAAGAACATTTGCATTTAAAGTATTTTGTAGAGAGATCTGTCAAATGTTTCCTCCAAAGAGACTCTGCTGCATTACACTCACACCTTCAATAAGTGTATGTGTGATCAGTCAGAATTCCCTCAGATGCTTCCATTGACCATCTCTTTTGATGCCTATCTTTAAGCTTTCTTTTCTTCTTTCTAGCTCTCTGATCACACTTAGTTTTCTTACCAACTTCTCTATGAATATGGTCCTGCACTTATTTCCTCTATACTCACCCTCTTCATTGCCTTCTCTCCTGCCTCCAACCTCATTTTCCTGCTCACAAACTTCCTGTATGGCTTCCATGGAGCTCAGCACAACTGAACAGAAAACAGGTGCTCTTTCCCTGGCCTCCCAACCTGCCAGCCTCCTGAACCAATAGAGAATGTTAATCAGGAAACATGGAAATAATTAATCTAGGTCACATTATAAGAAGAAATAAATTCCTATTGGTGTAGCCACAGGGAAAAGCCATCTAGAAGAATTCTATATTGTCTTTTGTTGAAATGGAGTCTGGGGCTGCTGCTGTGGCATAGCCATACTAAAGCTCCTGCTTTTAGTGCAGGCATTCCATAAGGGTGCCAGTTTGAGTCCTGGATGCTCGACTTCTGATCAGCTCCCTGCTAATGAGCCTGAGAAAGCAGCAGATGATGACCCAGGTGCTTGGGCCCCTGCTCCCATGTAGGAGACCTGAATGAAGCTCCTCGCTCCTGGCTTCAGTCTAGCCCTACCTTGGCCATTGTCATTTGGGGAGTGAACCAGCAGATAGAAGATCTCTCTCTCTCTCTCTCTCTCTTTCTGTAACTCTGCCTTTCAAGGAAATAAATAAACCTTATAAAAAAATATACAAGTAACTTTAAAAACAATGGAATCAGGGCGGGCGCTCTTGCTCAGCAGGTTAACACCCTGCCCTGAAGTGCCGGCATTCCCATATGGGCACCAGTTCAAGACCCAGCTGTTCCACTTCCAATCCAGCTCTCTGCTATGGCCTAGGAAAGCAGCAGAAGATGGTCCAAGTCCTTGGGCCCCTACACCCCTGTGGGAGACCCAGAGGAAGCAACTGGCTCCTGGCTTTGGATAGGCACAGCTCTGGCTGTTGCAGCCAACTGGGGAGTGAACCATCAGATCTCTCTCTCTGCCTCTCCTCTCTCTGTGTAACTCTGACTTTCAAAATAAATAAATCTTTAAAAAAAATGGAATATTTTTTTCCTATATTCCATACTAGATAGAATTCCTGTTTTTGAAACAATAACTCATGATTTTTATTCATTATTCCTTCTTTGGAACTGGAGTGGGAGCAGGCAAAAAAGTAGATGAAAGAAAGGAAAAAAAATTAAAACCTATAAGTACCATATTGGACAGGAAGACTGGAGAAGAGGTAATAAAAATAAGGTTAAGAAATAAAGCCAACTTCTTAAAGCCTTAAAAACAGAAATGAAGAAAGGAGGAGGAAATAGGCAAAGAGGTATTGTTATGTTCTTAGAATTGTATCCATTAAATACATGGAATCTGTTCTCTTTATATAAATAAATATAAATTGTTTAAAAATTAAAAGCTTTTTTTTCTTTTATTGAATTGCTACTGCCTCATTCCAGAGCTCTAAAAATAGAATCCAAAGGCAAGCATGGGTTGCAGGATTGGGGCAGAGTAGAACGGGCAGTGACAGCCCTATTCCTCTAACAGCAACCTCTGCACCCCAACTCCTGAGCAATCACCCAGAATCAGCTTCATAAAATAATCCACTTAGGAGGAAGACTCAGAGAAAAATAAATCACTTGGCTATCTTTCTGCCTGTGAAGCATCTTAGAAATAAGCATGCTGCTAAGAAAGTGAGATTATGGCCAAACTATGTATAAAGAACACAAGGATATAAAGTTGTGAGGCAATTTGGTGATTTATGAACACTCACAGTGAACTACAGATGATGGAAAAGGATGGATCACAGAATGAGAGCTAAAGTAGGCAGCCCAGACAGCAGTGATCAATCAGCCTTTAAGTTGAGATTTACGAATATTTGCAATGTGTACAAATGAGTACTACATACAGCAACAGTGATTTTTGTTCCCCCTGAGGACATAAGGCAAAATATATTTTTTCCAATTTTTTAATTATTTATTTTTTCATTTCCTTTGAAAGGCAGGGGAAGAAGGAGATTTCTTGCATTTGCTGGTACCTCCCCAAATGCCCACAACAGCTGGGAATGTGCCAAACTGAAGCAGGGATCCTGGAACTCCATTCAGGCCTGGGTGAGCTGATCCCAAGGACAGAGCCCTCGGTGATATCTGCCTTTATGAAGACACATCTCAGTATAACATAACACCTCCTATTGAAGGTTTTTGGGATCTAAGAGAAAACTTTAGCTGCATCACAGAGGAGAGCAAAACATTAACCCTGAGGCTGCTGTGAGCCAACAGGTTTCCTGCTTACCTGAGAATCAGCCTGCTCACTAGGGAAACCAAGGAAAGAGGACCAAGCAAAGCCACTTGGGACCTGTGAGCAGAGTCCATCTCCTGAGTGAGAAAGAAGGAAGAGCCAGCCATGGCAGTTCTGGGCCCCCTTAACCTGGAATGGGTGCAAAAACTAGCCAACTCCAATTTAGACTGAGTGAACAGACCAACAGGCTGGCCAAAGATTGCATCAATGGGCTAGCACTGTGGTGAAGTGGGTAAAAACCACCACCTATCATGCTGGCATCCCATATGGGCCCAAGTTCAAGTCCTGGCTACTCCACTTCTGATACAGCTCTTTGCTATGGCCTGAGAAAGCAGTAGAAGATAGCCCAAATTTTTAGGCCCCTACACCTGTATGAGAGGCCTGGAGGAAGCTCCTGGTTCCTGTCTTCAGATCAGCCTAGCTGCAGCCATTGCAGCCATTTGGGAAGTGAACCAGCATATGGAAGATGCCTTTCTGTTTCTGCCTATCAAATAAATAAATAAATCTTAAAAAAAAATTGTGTCACCTATTCAGGAATCTGGATACAAGAGTGACCTAAAAAGAACTAGCAACAGATGTGCACAATAGGAGCCAGGGTGATAAGTGGGTAATAAATGCAGATTCTAGCCCAAGACAGCAGACAATGCCGACCTTCTTTTCTGTTGTAAAGTCTTATTTTAAAAGCCTTGGGGAACATATCTGTAGACAATTCGTATGTAGGATACACATGGGCCATTTGCAATTGGTCTATAAATATCATTATTATTATTACTACTATTTCCCTGAGCAATGAGCACCAGGAACTACCTCAGGGAGGAACAATTAAAGGAAATTACTTCAGTCCCATACCCAGGGAATTCTGCACCCTACATGAAGCTCTTCTTGCAAACTACTTATCTCATTTTTCATTTAAAAAAAAATCTTTTTTTCTATATTCCATACTGGATAGTATTATTGTCTTGGAATCAATAGCTCATAATTTCTTCATTTTATTGTTCCTATTTGCATTATTTTTTCAGGGGAAATAATTCACTCCTGAAGAGGCTTCTTTTTTTCCAGATAGCCCAACAACTGCCTTGGAAATCACTTGTGATGTCAGATGGATGGACAAGCAAGCCAACTGGAGTCATCCTCTAGGAGAAAGGACACTTTACCCAAATGGCTATATTTCATTCTACAGAAAAATGCAACCTGAAACAAAGAACTGTCCTTCAGTCCCCTGGTTTAAGCAAAGGGCCCATGTGCATTATTCCAGGTCTGCACCCCTTTTCATTCTACTCACATGTGAACTATCCGTATAGGGAAGTAGAATGTGAGCCAGCAGTAACCATGTCAGTAGAAGTGGTCAGTGTTTGCATTATACAACTGATTTTAATGACCTCATATTCAGTCATAAAACTTCTGCTCTTAGCAAGGGACACACACGCACACAGCCATATTCACCCCTGTATGAAAACTATTATAAACTGCTTATTTAGGAGTATCTTTTTGCATTTAATTATAGCAGTTCTCTACTCTTATAAAAAACCTCCATAAAAAACTGAAAAATGAGTCTATCAGAAACTATTTTAAAAATTGAACTCTAAATTTAAAAAATAAAAACTAAAAGGTGCCCTATTTGTGCCTTTGAATACTTCCTGACCTCTCTTCTGGCTTTCCCCTCCTCCCTCACCCCACATCCCTTTTCTGCATCATTGCCCCATATGCCCCTGCAACTCTCTCCCTTTGGAGCAGTCTTGTAGACTGTCATTCAATCATGTGAGGAATGTTACTTATTTCAAAATGATTCTGTAGGGCATGCCTGAATGGCATCTAATGGCAATAAACAGGTCTTCTAACATCCCTTAACTATATTTCTAGCATATGTGGAACCAGCATTGTGGCATATTAAGTAAAGCCACTGTGTATGACACTGGCATCCCACATGGGCTGTGGTTCATGTCCCAGCTACCCTACTTCTTTCTAATCCAGCTTCCAGGTAACGTAGCAGAGGATAGCCCAAGTGGTTATGTCCCTGCTCCTCCATAGGAGACTTGGATGAATCTCTTGGTTCCTGCATTGACCCAGCCCAGCCATGGCTGTTGAGACCACTGAGGGAACAAACCAGTAGATGGAAGATTCATTTCTCTCTCTTTCTCTATCTCTATCTCTGTGAGTGGTGGGGGTGCAGGTATCTTTCCCTATTTCTAACTCTGCCTTTCAAGTAAATAAATGAACATTTAAAAAAAAAAAAAAGATCCACACTGTGGTGCAGCTAGTTAAAACCATAGCCTGCAGAGCCACCATCCCTAACAGGTACCAGTTCATTTCCTGGTGGCTCCACTTCCCATCCAGCTCCCTGCTAATGGTCTGGAAAAGTAGCAGAGGATAGTCCAACTTCTTGGGCTCCTGCAGCCACATCAGGCATCTGGCTTATGGTTCCTGGCCTCAGTCTAGCACAGCCCAGGCTATTACAGCTATTTGGGAAGTGAACCAGCAGATGGAACATCATAGAATAAAAGAAAAAATTAAAATTAAAAAGAAACAAAAACAAAAAAATTCTTGTCATTCTGCCTTTCTGATTTAAAAAATTATAAAATGAAAAACTGATCATAAATATTATGACTCAAGTTGACATATGATGGATCCAAGAAAGCTACTGCTGTCTAGTGCCCCTTAATGCTTTCCTACAGAAAAATCATTTATCTTGCTTTCCAAGTACTCAAATATCAAAAGCACCAATGCTACCCAGTATAACTCTGTTTAAGGCTGCTTCAGTATTGAAGGAAAAGAAAAGGAGCAAGGGGCACAAACCCAGGATGGTTTCAGGGTGACAGGATCCTCATTTTGCACCTTGGTTTCTAATCGGAGATGGTCACACAGGGAACTTCAGATACTGCAGGGCTGCCCAAACACAGTCAATCACAGACATTGTCATAGGCTCCTTGTGTGTACACTGGAAGGAGAACACAGAGCACTCCACAGGCAGAATTGTGTTAAACAAAATTTCTCCACCCTGCTGACCACAAACTCAAGAATGTCCTGATCAAAATGTCATTTTGGTTCAAGAAATAGACTATCTGACCTTTTCTCCACTCAGATATATTCCTGTGTGAAGAATCCATTTCCCTGGGGGCATGGCACCACCACACAATGCAAACCAGGCTAATAGCAGAGCTATGGCTTTGATGCTCTGAGGAGAATGGATAACATCTATGAGATCTGAATGCACTAAAAAGCTCTAGGATTCTGATACAGATTTGAATTAAAAGATAGAAACATGCCGGCACCGTGGCTCATTAGGCTAATCCTCCGCCTTGCGGCGCTAGCACACCGGGTTCTAGTCCTGGTCGGGGTGCCAGATTCTGTCCCGGTTGCCCCTCTTCCAGGCCAGCTCTCTGCTATGGCCAGGGAGTGCAGTGGACGATGGCCCAAGTGCTTGGGCCCTGCACCCCATGGGAGACCAGGAGAAGCACCTGGCTCCTGCCTTCGGATCAGTGCGGTGCACCGGTCACAGTGCACCGGCTGCGGCAGCCATTGGAGGGTGAACCAACAACAAAAAGAAGACCTTTCTCTCTGTCTCTCTCTCTCTCTCTGTCCACTCTGCCTGTCAAAAAAAAAAAAAAAAAAAAGATAGAAACACAAAAATCAACTGAATCTGTTAGGTGAGAAGAAAGGAATATTGCTCTCCAGTAGTTACTTTGTAGCATATTAGCCTTCAGAGTTTCATTTTCTACTTATATTTGAGGAAATAAAGATTGAGTCAGTTCCATCCTAACACATAGCAGCTTTAGCCACTGATCACATTACAGCTAGCCTTGATCACTACCTCTCACTCAACAAATGACAAACTAAAATAGAACATTCTAATGGATTGCTGACACCTGTTCAACAGGCATCTCCAAGACTGTGACACACAATTTGACAGAAGAGGAATGGTGGGGCTGGTATTGTGGCACAGTGGGTTAAGCCACCACAGCCTCAAATGCTTGCATCCCCTATGAGTGCCAGTTTTTTCTCCCCAGATGGGCACAACAGCCAGGGCTGAGTCAGGTGGAAATCAGGAGCCAGGAGCTTCATCCAGGTCTCCCACATAGGTAGCAGGAACCCAAACACTTGAGCCATCCTCCACTCTTTTCCCAGATGATTAACAGGGAGCTGGATCATAAGTGAAGCAATTGGAATATGAACCATCACCTATTTGGGATGCCAGAATTGCAGGCAGTGGTTTTAGCTCATAGTGCCAAAATGCTGGCCCCATGAGTGCCAGTTTAAGTCACAGCTGCTCCACTTCTGATCTGTTAATGCACTTGAGGAAGAAGCAGATGATCCAAGCATCTGGGCCCCTGCTCCCACATGGGAGACTTGGATGGAGTTCCAGGCTCCAGGCTTTCAACTGGCTCAATCCTGCTCATTGTGGCAATGAACCAGCAAATTGAAGATCCTCCTCCTTCTGTGTCTCCCTCTTCCTCTGTAAATCTACCTTTAAAATAAAATGCTTAATTCTTACAAAAAAAGGGAAAAGGTAAAAGAGGAGCCACATACAAATAACAGAGTAAAACTATGGTTCTGCTATCCCTCGGCAGCCTTCTGCCTTAAGTGGGAAGTCTTCAGCTTACAGACACTGACATAAAAGACACTTACAACATATTTCAAAATAACAGATGAGAGGTTTACAAGGCAGGTTGATTTTATGATGACTTTTACTGTAAAGTTACACTAACAATAGGCAGATCCCCTTTAGTGCACCCAAGTTAACCCAGTGCCTAATTCAAAGAGACAGCCTGAGGAAGATGTGCTGACAGTGGAGAGAGCTGAAATGTCTCCATTACTCTTCTCAACATCATAAGCAGAAGGAGAAAAGGTATTCATATCTGTGGTTATAAAGAAGATGGAAGCATACCAATTTCAGAAGAAGAGGATAAAAACTCAGATATAGTTTTCTTAAGAAAATAAAATGAAGTAAATCTCAGAATATAATGTGGGTTGAAAAAACAACATCAATTCATCAATTCTCACCAGGAGCCAGGAAAACTGCCCATGTGAGCCAAATAACAGTTTAGTTCCCACTATGGGCAGGTGTCACCCAACCAGGCACTCAGAGAATACGAGCAAAGCTTTTCCACAAGAGGAAACATGAACTATGAACCAGACACAAAAGACAACTATGTCTAGTGCTCAATGTGAGCCCCAGAATAACCCCTCAGTAAACCTGTTAGATCCCAAGAGAAGTCAGCTTTTTAGCTTTGCAGTCACAAAGAAAACTCAGCTGCCTGAAATGCTTTATGGTGACTGATAACACCTTTATTCTAGTCTAAAAATGGCTTGAAGTGGACAAGAGCTGACAGTTATGAAAACAGAATTACATGCAGTCTACTAGATGTGAATCAATGGAAAGGCTAGAAAATGTCAAGACCAGAGAAATATAATGAGAAAAGCAATGAAATTAGAAATGGACGAGTTTCTTCAGAGCTTTTCCCCCATCAAATTCCCTAGGAACCCACACTTGCTAATGTGGTGGCATTCACTCCACTGACAAACCCTTGGAAGGTAAGAAAAGTTGTCTACTTGAAAGTGCCCAATGTGAGTCCATCCATCAGTCTCTTTCAATGGCCACAGTCACATGAGAAGCAGTCTTCCCAGTGAGAGAGGCCAAGTGGCATCTTGGATCAAGGCAGTGACTATTGCTGGGCCAGCACCCCCTTTGCAGACCAGCAGTAACAGCAAAGAGAAAAAGTGGAGAAGAAAGTTAGGGAAGAAAAAAAATGGAAACCTCAATTTGTGGAGACTCCATCTTTCTGGCTTACAGATGCTCAGGCAAGACCCACCACAGGTTTAAGGGGCCACTGAGGGGGAGCAGCACATCATGGTCACTCAGAAAAATCAACAGACAGCTTCCTGTTGTCTATACATGGCTGACTTTGGTCCATACACATTCCAGGTGAAATGAACCTGAATCAAGTGAAGAAAAAGACTTACAAAAACCTTCAAACACAATATTCCATGGGAATGAACTTTGCAAAGCCAAGTCACCCAATAGAGTAGGTGGGGGAATCTATATTTTAAAGAAGCACCATTCAAGGTAGACCTGATATTCAGAGACCAGTTTTGAGTTTTACAATTCACCCACATATGCATCCTCCCTTCATCTCCCCAACAAAGACCAAACACTGAAGAATCTCCACATCATGCACATCTAGAAAAGAACATCTGTACATGAGTTGATACAAATTGTACACATGGATACTTCATGCACACTGGCCATAAACATGCATCTTTACATGCCATTTTAAAACTGTTTCCAGAAACAAGGCTCTTTGTGAATCAATAGTACCAACACTACTTTTGATGCACACACCTCTCTCATCACACAGGATTCCTATTTCTCTTTCTGAGAAGTAATAAATCAATTTCAACCACATGATTGACGTCCTTTGATAGCATGTAGAAACATAATTGATGTCTTTGGAATGTGTTGTCTAGAAGTGTCTGTCTTCCACAGGATTGGTAATTGTAGCCATTCATTCAAACAGATTTGTGAACTGCCTTGGATTTGGCATTGAGTTTTTTTTTTTTTTTTTTTTGGACAGGCAGTTAGACAGTGAGAGAGAGAGAGAGAGAAAGGTCTTCCTTCCATTGGTTCACCCCCCAAGTGGCTGCTATGGCTGGTGCTCTGCACTGATCCAATGCCAGGAGCCAGGTGCTTCCTCATGGTCTCCCATGCAGGTGCAGGGCCCAAGCACTTGGGCCATCCTCCACTGCCTCCTCAGGCCACAGCAGAGAGCTGGACTGGAAGAGGAGCAACTGGGACAGAATCAGCACTGCAACCAGGACTAGAACCCAGAGTACCGGCACCACAGGCAGAGGATTAGCCTAGTGAGCCACTGCACTGGCCTGCCATTTACATTTGATAGCGGTCGGAATGTTTTTTTTTTTTTTTCTGCCAAGTCATTTGGATATTTATAATCACTGATGGATCACACAAAATTACAAAATTAGAAATTCACATGCTATAGATTGATAATCCAGTACCACACACACTTGCCTTGGCAGGGCCAGAACAAATAATTTCATGGACTCTAAATGACCCATAGATTGGCTGTTCCTCACCTCTGATTTAGAGTAAAATGATAACTAAAGTTCTGACTACTTTAGCTTTGCTTATTGGCCAAGTCAGAGCCGATGTCCAATAAAGGCCCTTAGAACCTACTGGAGTTAGCAGAAACTTTTTCCCATTTTCCTTGTAACTTTAGAATGCATTCTCTTTCTTTCTTTTTTTTTAAGATTTGCTTATTTTATTTGAGAGTTAGAGTTACAGACAGTGAGAGGGAAAGACAGAGAAAAGTCTTCCTTCCATTGGTTCACTCCCCAAATGGCCACAATAGCTGGAGCTGTGCCAATCCAAAGCCAGGAGCCAGGAGCTTCTTCCTGGTCTCCTCCATGAGTGCAGGGGCCCAAGGGCTTGGGCCATCTTCCACTGCTTTCCTAGGCCATAGCAGAGAGCTATACTGGAAGTGGAGCAGCCAGGACTAGAACCAGCACCCATATGGGATGCTGGCACCACAGGCAGAGGATTAACCTACTGTGCCATGGCACTGGCCCCATAGAATGCATTTTCTTAGCCACTAATTCCTCTTGAAGTTGTCTATTGATGGCCTACTTTTGTGGCACACTGGTTTAAGGTACCTCCTGCAATGCCAACATTCTATGTGAGCACCAGTTCAAGTCTCAGCTGCTCCACTTCCAATCCAGTTCTCTACTAATAGGCTTGGGAAAGGCAGCAGAAAATGGCCCAACACTTGTAAAGGACTTGTCCCACCCTTCCCTTCCTCCTCTCTTTCTTCCTCCTTCCCTGCTCCCTGTCC